AGTATGGCGGCCTCCAAGGCTTTCAGCTTGGGTGTGGCCTTGCAGGACATTTGTGCTGCGGCGGGCTGGTCCTTTCTGCACACTTTTGTCCGCTTTTACAACCTACACCTGGCATCTACCCCAAGTTCCCAAGTTCTCTCTTCGTGATGTGCTCATAAGATACACACACAGGCAGGGACTTGGTAGTATGGCGCAGTTGGTATTCTCGTTCCCAAAGCGAATCTCGACGCAGCTCGAGTTCCTGTAGGGGAATGTCTCTAGGTTACGTATGTAACCATGGTTCCCCGAGGGAACGAGACGCTGTGTCTCTTTGCCATACTCCCTGCATCCCTGCAGGCGCTACTTCATCGAAGCTGGATGGCGCCCGGCCGGATGCGCTTTTATACTTTCTGGTGCTTACGTCACCCTGCTCGTGACGTCTCGCTGCTCCATTGGACGGATTTGACACGTGCTTCAGAACGCGGTGCCGCAAGGGCGTTCCCAAAGCAAATCTCGACGCAGCGTCTCGTTCCCTCAGGGAACCATGGTTACATACGTAACCTAGAGACGTTTTCAACATTGATAATAATAAGAAATATTAATTGAGCAGCAAACCATCTTATTAGAATGATTTCTGAAGGATCATGTGACACTGAATACTGGAGTAATGTTTGATGAAAATTCATCTTTGCTATCTCAGAAATACAATTTGAAATATTTTAAAGTAGAAAACAATTATTTGAATAACTGTTATATATTTCATAATATTACTATTTTTACAGTACTTTTGATCAAATAACACAGTCTTGGTGAGCATAAAAGATTTCTTTCAAAAACATTAAAATGTCTTACCATTCCCAAAATTCTTTAAGGCTTTCTCATTTTTTTAAACATAAGCTCATCATGTGACATTATTAATTAATAATAATAATAATAATTAATTTCATATATTACAAAAATTTAAACCAGTAAAACTAAATATTATAAAATGAATAGCCTTGCAAAGGAGCTGATATACTGCACACACACCTGCAACCAAACCATTTGATAGCAGAGCCCTAGGATGGAGTGATGATATCAAACTCACATGCATGGCGAGAATGCTCCGTGGGATAAGTTCCCGATACTGTCTGATGCTGAAGTGCCATGTCTTGATTCTCATCAGATCATCGAAGGCGAACTCCAGAATCAACCGGCCCTCTGTACACACCTGAGAATGCAAACATTCAGAAACATATAATGTATTTAAAGACTACGGGCATTAAAGACTAGGTCTCTTTCTCATCATGAAGAAATAAGTTTAGTCAAAAAAATGCAAACTCAGAGAGTGACAAAATGCATCACCTTAACGCAGGTGATATTTTTCAGATATCATGTCAGAATAGTTGGGCATTTCAAACCAGATGATTGAGTTTTGAAACCATTTAAAGGTGTTTTATGTTGTATACCTGAACCGAAGGCCAAAAAAATTGAAAATCTTGAGACGAGCTTACACAAACACAAAACAACAAAATGCTGAATACATGCAGAGGTCATTAACCATTAGCAATCACAACAAAAAAAAAAACAGGACGAGAAAATCATTTTGCTGAATTTAGTACTGCGCTACTCATAGCCCCCAATGTTCTGTTGCTGGGGCAACCGGAGGAGGAGGAGGAGGTGGAAGGGAGGGAGAAGAAGGGGGGTTGGGGGTGGGAGCGTCAGCTGTTTAGTTGGCATGGCAACGGCAAAGATGTAATCCCGCCAGAGCCACTCTAATCAATGCCCTCAGCACAGATGGTCTCTGGAGGATCAACAAGAAAAGAGGCTGGTGGGAGAGCACAGCGCCATCACATGACCACACTCTTTCACATTCTCTCGCTCACTCTCCCCACTTTTTTCATCTTCTGTATGCTTCTCCTGCTCTCCGAATCTGTTTTTGTTTGTCTCATTCTTTCTCCATCTCTCCTTTTTTGTCTTTCCATCCTTCGTTCAGCACTATCTCTCAACATCGTAACATGCTGAGGAAAAAGCAAAGTGAAAATGAAAGCATCTATCTTTCCCTTTCCCTCTGTACTGTACTGCAGTGACTAATATTGGATATACTATTCTGTTGTTGTTTTTTCTGCCATGACCATGCCATTTCCACCCCATCTGAAATCATCATTTACTTTGTGAAGGAAATTACATTTTGCAGTCTGCTTAATCTTGATATGGTTAATTTCATAGCTAGCATTTTATGTATCAAAAATACACACAATAACATGTTATTTTCACAGATGTAAACCTTGATTGCAAATAACATGCCTTTGGAAAAAATGTTAACAAGTTGGTTTAAAAGTACACTAACTTCTGAACCAATTTTATTGGGTGAAAAATTGTTGACAGTTGAAATTTGTGTAAAATTATTTTCACATACTAAATACTGAAAAGGCATTTATTTAGGTTCTCATAGTTTTAAACATTGGTAATGATGGTAAACATGCTGACCCCCAGCTTTTGAATGGAAGTGTATATACAGTGGGGGAAAAAGTATTTAGTCAGCCACCAATTGTGCAAGTTCTCCCACTTAAAAAGATGAGAGAGGCCTGTAATTTTCATCATAGGTATACCTCAACTATGAGAGACAAAATGAGAAAAAAAATCCAGAAAATCACATTGTAGGATTTTTAAAGAATTTATTTGCAAATTATGGTGGAAAATAAGTATTTGGTCAATAACAAAATTTAATCTCAATACTTTGTTATATACTCTTTGTTGGCAATGACAGAGGTCAAACGTTTTCTGTAAGTCTTCACAAGGTTTTCACACACTGTTGTTGGTATTTTGGCCCATTCCTCCATGCAGATCTCCTCTAGAGCAGTAATGTTTTGGGGCTGTCGCTGGGCAACACGGATTTTCAACTCCCTCCAAAGATTTTCTATGGGGTTGAGATCGGGAGACTGGCTAGGCCACTCCAGGACCTTGAAATGCTTCTTACGAAGCCACTCCTTCATTGCCCAGGC